AATGTTCGTAAAGAATGGGAACATGGATATTTCCCTTTCAGATTTTTATACGCTCTGCTTCATTTGTTACTGAATAATTAAAGTTATGAATATTAATATTTTTTAAATTCTGACGTGCTCAGTAGACCGCAAAAATAATGATGTGACTTAACAATATTAAAAAAAGAATATAATATTTTATATGAAATAAAATCACTGTTGGTTTTGTTACATTTAAAAAATGCGTGAAATGAAAAAATCGTAAACTTCTTCACGGTTTATTTCATAATGGAAGCAATATTAGTCGATTTTCTTCAAATTTTCTTCTGAACAATAGGTAGAGTTTGAATTGTAGAGCCAGTAGGCTAATTTCAAGGTCTAAGGTAATCCCTTTGAAAGGTATAGTCATTGTGATAGCGATTTATGGCATTATGGTACTTTTATAGATTTCAATTAATATTCAACTCTTTTCTTAGACAATTAACGTCAAACTAATAATATTGTTCAGCGCTAAAACGAATTCTTTTATGAACAAATTCAAAGAAATCTTGGATAAAATAGAGTTACGAATTAATATGACACCGGTCAGATATAATATTTCTCAGAAAGCTAAATATTGTCTATTTTTGAAAATCTAATACGACTTCAAAGAAATCTCAATGATCCGTAAGAAAGGCCTGAGCCCCTGCAGTGGGAATGCAAAAGAGCTGATGACGATGATGACATCCGTTTAGAAGTCGTTTTATTTAAAGCAAACGCACCCTCATAATTATCATGTTTTAATTTAATTTATATTATTAAAAAAAGGAATTATCCCCACAATGGCTGCTAAAGTATATATTGGCTCCGACCGTGCCTTATAATGACACAAAACAGCAGCTGCCATAGTTTAACCCTTATATGCATGATTTTTTATTTGTAATTAATAAAATATGTACGTAGTTTTTCAAAGGTATGGAAATGATTAGAAAAATAAAAAATAATTATTAGTTCAGTCATTGAACAAAAAAATAGTGCCCCGATTTCTGTAAATTTGTCTGAAATTTTGAAATTAGGCTCATTTTACCCTCCTTACGGAGTGAAAATTACTCGTTTATATATTGAACCAGTGAAAAGGCTGTAATTATAATAAAAAAATGTTATATATATCTACAACACTTAGAAACCCCACTTATAGAAATTATTATAAAAAATAATTAAAAACACGAAACTTGTGATTTCTTGTCTTAATAAGAAAAATCATATTCTGGAAATATACATAATCTGATTAAGCCTTTTTAAAATAATTCAACTGCAAAAAAATAAAAATTAAAAAGAAAGTAATAATTATTTTAAAGTTATTTTTAATAATAATTAATGGAAACGAAATATTTATTTATAACCGTCAACAGAGGTTCCCTTTTTTCTTCGGTAAATTAATTTCCCTTTCTATTTTTAACTTATATCTATACTTTTGTGTATATATGTATATGTATATATACTATATATACGTGGTCTACCTACACGTTCAGTTATTGTGAAGAGAAAGGTATAGAGTGTAAAATTTGCGTGCTCTGTAATTTTGCAAAGTTATTTCTCAAAAAAACATTTTGTTTTTTAATGATAACTCAGTCCTTTTCAAGCTATTTCATTCATTCAAATACATTTTGTATTGAATTCAATAAACTATAATGCCATGTAAATTATAAAATGTTTAGACCCTCACGTTCAATGAGTTTAATGGTTTAAGGGCTAAAAAGGTACCCCTTGCATACAAATAAATATATATATGAGCATATTTCATTCAATTTTTGAGCTTTAGAAATTAAAAGATAATCAAAATGTTTAGAAAAAAATAAACTCCTTTTTTATATAAAGAGCTTTTTGTAATTACTTTTTGTTTTATTTTGAAAAAAGCATAGATTTTTTGTAAAGTTTTACAAAGAAGATTTCCTTTGATACTATTTTAATCAAGATTTCCAAACCATTGAAATTTCTGGGACGTATAGCTGGGATATAAACGAAGTTATTCCTTGATGGGTTATGATTACCTTTTATTTTATCACTTATGACACTTATTTTTTTTTAATTCCAACGATGCAGTATTTTTGTTATAACTCCGTCAATTTTTACGCTTGGAAGTTTTGTTATAGCTCTTTTTAAAGGTATAATTAATTAATTAATTTTCACCCCCGAGACAGGGTGGCGTTCACCCCCTGGGTAAAAGCGCATATATAGCACTAGGTTTGTTGGACTGGACTATATATCTGATTAGATTGATATATTAATTCTTCATTTACAGCCTACATTATGCACTCCAAGTAAAAGTGTGTGATCTAAGTAGGTGTATATGCTAATATTATGTGTATGGTTACACTTATTTAAAACAATAAGATTATGTGTTTACTTTATCTATTCTGATACCCCCTTAAACTAATGTTTCTTTTATTTAATGTAGTAAAGTGGTATTCATTACATTTTTCACATATTGTTTGGGCAACACCAGTTTAGCTAGATATCATATATCTGTTACTTTTGTGAAAATCTAGTCTAGTTCTAGTTGAACATCTTTTCCTTGTAGGACATGGGAAACACATTTATATATATTTTCTCTTACAAACAAAAATTGGTCTTTAACTTTATTTTATTTTTGTATTGTACTAAATAGTACTATAACTATTTTTGTCAAGTCTACTACAATTTTTTAGTACAGACCTTAAAATGTTCTAAGGGTTAAATTATGGAACTGAAATGCTCTTTAATTTTATAGAACTAAATTGCTTTGTTGAAAACTATTATAGTACACGCAGTCCCAATGGTGATTATTACAGATCTTTTTTGTCACTATAGGGAAACGGAACGCCTTAGTTATAAAACATAATATAACTTGGAATGTCAAAACACGATTTATTCATTTAGTATTTGCATAAATACATATAATTAGCACATATTGTATAATTATTAAAAAGTCTAACATAATAAACTATTTATGTAATTGGAGTATCAACTCATATCTAATAGAATGCAGACATGAAGTGAAAGTAAATCAACTTTTACTAATACTCTAGACTATTTATTTTTTGTCGAAATTTTAATTACCTTCTACTTACATGACAAGTGTTTTAAACATTAATACATTCTTTCCATTCCATTTAAATTTAAATTTGTACAATGAAACTGAAGTCTGATTTCCCGATTGAGCAGAAATTTTGCGTTCATATACTATAACGTGGATGTTTTTGCTCAATTCTATATTTATTGGATTGGATAGTAGCCATGGGTCCTCTGAAATGAAACGATTGAAACTCATGTAAAATATATTTCTGTGAAATTCATGGACTTTGAAATGGCTTAAGTCCGAGAATATCCATGATGATGGAACTGGAAGAATTGTTCATAAAAATTTCGTAATTAAACGCTCTATTTTATTTTTAAAAAATTACATGTGATAATGTCGTACTTGCTTCAAAAATGACGTTTGCGTTATTTTATGAGTTGGTTGATAGATATGCATTTCTGCAAGTAGATCTATGCTAATATTATAAAGCTGAAGAGTTTGTTTGTTTGAACGCGCTAATCTCAAGAACTACTAGTTCAAATTGAAAAAATATTTTTGTTTTGAATAGACCATTTATCGAGGAAGGCTTTAGGCTATATAACATCACGCTGCAACTATTAGGAGCGAAGAACTAATAACAATAATGCTAGGCAAAATGTGCCTTTATCACTTTTGCTCAAGTTTTATATTATATATATATATATTTTTTATTTTTTTTAATCAACAGACTTAGTTATCCGAGCACGGACATCGTTATAGTCTTGTAGAGTCAGAACTCTACATGACTCTCCCAAGATAAAATATTTTGTATTTCAGATGCTAACACGCTACTTTCATGCTTTTTGCAAAAAAAAAGAAGTAGCACTTTCATTAACAAAAAGAGAATTAATACCAAAAATATAATGTGATGATTTCATTTTACTTCCATTTCTAAATGCAAATCACTTTATTACCTAGGGAACATTCATACAATTTTATTACTGTCTGCGTTTTCTATAAAGACAATGGTATAAATACGAGAGTGTGAAAAATTATTTTATTGACAGATCATCTGCGCAATATGTCGTCATGTCTCTATTTACCTTATTGACGCAATTCCGTCTCGTTTTATTATGATTATTGTTTTGCATATGCAAATTAAGTTTGTGAAGCTCGATCGCGCAGTGATTAGAGCGGCGTTGCGGAGATGCATAATTTTCACAAGAGTCGGTCGACGGATGGGTGACCAAAACCTTATCTTTACTTACACCTAAAAACCTTATCTATACTCCATGCCCTAAAAAATCGCATCAGTAAAATCTGTACACTAGGTAACTTATGTGATCTCACTATATTATAGAGAATATGAGTTGACTTCAGAATCACTTATTTCGTCGTTTAAAAAGTACTTAGCAAAATAATGAGTGAACGTCAAAATTGCAAAATGGCGGGAGAGAAAGATATCATTATTTTCGTTTTGTTTTATAATCATAACGTGTTTACAATTTTTTTTGTGAACTATTTTACCTATCAGCTAACGCATCGCAGTTACGATACTATGCAATCTTCATTCAATTACTTTACGCGCCAAAATGTGTAACACGACCACTAGTAGAAAACATAGTACATTCTTCAATGTATGAGTAGTATATTGTTTCTTGTGTATACATTGCTTCAAAATTTAAAAGTAGAATTTGATTTACAGGAAGTAAACGAGCAATGTAAAGTTATAAATCGCGAATCGGTATTGTTGTCGTTGACTGTGAATGCTCAGAGCTTAAGAAGTGATATAATATGACCAAATTACGTAGAGCTGTTTCTAAATGAATAGTAAGAAATAGCAGAGGTCAATTTTGATTAGTGTTTGCGGTAGGCAAAACGAATAAAAGCTTCGGTTAGACATTCAAACATTGGAAACTCGAACGCCTGTCACTTTTATATAAAAACGTGGTGCGATTTTATTGTGACACCACAAGTTAACGTGAAACGGAACGCAAATATCAAAATGTGTGCAGTGCAAACATATGTGAGTTTTAATTATTAAAAATAATAATTATCGAGTGGTTTGAGTGTGAGCATACGTGATTAAGTGAAATTTTAAAAATATATGAAAATTTTGTTTTATTAAAAATACACGGGCAATATACATAAATGTATAGTGATGAGAAATATTAAATTATTACATACAATATATAATTAAACACAAAATTATAAATCTTATAATATTTTTTGTGGTTTCCTGGTACGCACTCCGTTTCGATATCGGTTACATATAGAAAAAAAGAACTTATTTATATAATACAAAAGATGTTTTACATTTCCATCTTATAATATACTTTTAGAAACTATTTTTAATGTGAAAATTCTTGAAAAGGCGAAAAGAAATTGTGATATATTTTTTTTAGCAAAATTTTAAAGAGAAAATCTGCAACTACTGTAGAAATATTCATATTGTTAAAAAATTATTTACTATTTAAAACTACCTGCATTGCGATACTGCAGCAGTAAATTATTTATTAAATATCATAACGACCACTATTTTGTCGTTTAATGGTTAGTAACAGTTATAAATTCCGGAAAGTCTAACAACGATGCATCAAGTGGCTATCGGGATGTTACCGACTGTAAAAAGCTTTATATTACAAAATATACAGATTATAATTGCACCGCGTTTTTGATACGATTATATTATTAAATAAGAGCAACTTGTTTTTAAATGTTTGCCTATAAATTAATTTCAAATTACAAAGTTAATTTACTGCAGCTAAAAATACCGTGCTTAGGTTATCTACTAGGTATATCTACTGATGAAGATAAATGGTGTCATTTAAGTATGGTCCTGCTTATAAATTAATTTATTAAATTAAATTTTGTGATTTTATATTCATGTCATCAGATTAACGTTTAACTTGTTTTATTTTTTTTTATTTTAATTTTTTTGTGGCCGTCTTTCTCTCTGTTTGACGGATGCTCAAGCTGTTCGTATTAATCGACTAATTTTACTTTATTTGACTGTTAATTACGCACCTTTTTATTGGTTAATGATATTGGAATTATAACATTTTATATAATTAAGGATTAACCATTCAATAAACTAAATTAAAATTCAGTGAAGTTATTGTTAGCATAATAAAGGTGGCGGCAACGGCGTCACGCGGAATTTCAGCCCGTGTTTTTTCAACGTTCGGACTTAGTTTGCAGTATAGCCGATAGTTATTTATGTATACGATTAACGTTACTTCCATCGCAACACTATCAATATTACTGTTGTTACTGGAAAATAACAGAAAACCGTAAACGTACTGTGAACTGGAAGTAGGATAATAAAATGTTACTTCCGGAACATCTATGTCGGTGTTGTGAAAATATATAACTGGCCCGGAAGGAATATTTATATACCTATAAACGTTTAATTTTAATGTTTTCATTGTATTTGTAGTAGTTGATTTTGAACGTTTGTATCTTGGAAATAATATGCTTTATTGAAATTTTGTATTTTTATACTGATACGATATACAGGAAAGGTTTGATTGTTTGTTGGTATGGTTGTATTGAAAAGGTTCTAAAACTACTGGGCCGATTTATAAAAATCTTTCTCCTACGGAAAGCTACACAATACACAGGTGATATCACCTGCTGTTACTCAACTAGCCTATGTTAATGTTCATATGCCTTTATACACAATATTTTATTTCTTTTCATTGAATGATTGCGGTAATAGAGATGATGACTGGGTAAAAAATACAACTATTTAGTTCGTCACTCAGATAATAGAATAATAAAAAAAAATGTATCTAAAAATATATTCGAGGAGTGGGGGTTTGCTACATCACAACTATGTAAAAAATGTACAAAGGTGTGACGTGATATGAGATTTCAACTCAATGTATTGATATATTGAAAAGCATACGTATTTAATATTTGATTATTGAATAATCAACTTGACGGAGAAACAAATAAAAATTAGTCATCATCCATTTAAGCAAATACCTTTTAATTTGTGATGAAGTGAATACTTTTGAAGTAGTCTTTGAATAGTTAACTCTTGAAGTAGTCGTTTAATTAGTTGATTTATCGTCATCGAATAACTGAGATGACTAAAATTCCTGAACATGCTCACATAATTCGGGTTAACCTCTCATAAATATATAGCAGAGCTATGCGATTACATAGAATGGGATGTGGGCACTATTGGCTTTCCGTCGTTCAGTTTCCATGGTACATTTACCAAATGTCAAAGCTTCCTGGATCCAGACATATCTCCCGTGAATATAACGACAACAAAATAATGTTGTTCTGTTTATTGATATTGTTGGATTTTATTTAAAATTGCAATGGATAATTTTAAGAGAAGCATAATATTAATCATAAGTAGCATTTGTTATAAGTTCCGTAAATTGCAAATGCGCTGGAAAAGGACAAGGGTCCGAATAACACCCTGTGACGTTATTTAAAAATAGAAAGTATAGATAGCAGAAAATGCAATTGGTAAAATATTCATTAATTATTGATATATACGTATATATAAACCCTAAAATATTGTTAAAATAATTTATTAACTTTTAGTTTGTTAATTAATTGCATTAACTTTTGAAAAAGGTGAAATTATATGTTAATATTGAGGTATATGGAAAATATAAAAATATAATTTACTTTGTAATAATATCGCGAAAACAAATGGAAAGAACATTTGTTTAAAAGAAAGCATACAGTATTAATGAAATGGCAATTAAATGAGACATAAGTTACATTAATTTTTAGTAAAATCAGGTTTTTTCGTTGTGAAAACCACAATAGCAGTCGTTATTTTAGTCAACCATAAGAAGTAACAACAAAACTTAACAATAATAAACAAAAATATAACAAAAATTGTGTGTGATCTCAACACAACCCAACTAAATAAGAATACTTGTCAACCAATGTTTATTTTTTAAATGTACTGATTTTTGAACGCAATTACTTCGTCGAAATGGTAACCAGGCGCATTAGCAATTTGCAGGGATTATACTGATTTTTATAATCTCATAATTGAATTGATATGAATCACAATGTGTTTTTTGTATTTCTAGATTTTTTTGTACGAGCGATCTAGTAATGTTACCTATGTGTGTAATATAGTGTAGTATCATTTGAATTTGAATATTGTGTAAAAAATGATACTCATATCCACACTTCAAGTTTAGTTGAGGATTGAATCGGTGTGTGAAAATGAAATTTTATCGAAGCATTGTCACCCTACTTTATACAAGCAGAGTGTGCGTTTATGAGTTATGACGGTATACAATCCCAATAAATATCAGCTCCTGTGAACTAAGAACAACGATAACTGGCTGTTCCCGCCACAATGGCTACCGCTGGCACCTAATAAGGCTGCATTCGATTCACAGCATTCAAGAAATTGAAATTGAATTGTTCTTTCATTTACAGCAAGTGACTTTCGAATAGCGCAAACTGAATTTAATCACTGCGTTTAAAATGGTGTTCTACGCTCCAGTGCAGTCACCAGCGAGATGTTTTTGACTTTCGAACAACAGTAGTTCAATTGTTTCTTTGTTTTTTCCGGTATACTGCATTGCATGCTGCAGTTCCTTTTTTGAAATTTGTTTTGAATGGGAAAATAGTTTTCTTTGTGTTAGTGTCACGACATCAGTTAAAAATACTATTGCATGCCGATTGCAACGTATTCCATTTTTAGTTAAACCATAAAACAAACCCGCTTCCTCTATAAGTATTATAAAGGAATTTACACTTTAAAACTCTCTTCTTTTAAATATAATATTTTCTATTTACTTTGGGATTGTTTTTCTAGTTCAGTAAATTCTGTACAAAATTTGTTGGAAATATAAGGACGCTCAAATGTAAATAAAAATTGGGCTCGTCGTTGTTTATTGGAACTCAAAATAGATATTCGTTATCGAACATAAATATTGGTAGTCACACACAGTCACCAGCTTTGCTATAGTACACATATTTATATAAATATTCGTTTGTCGGTTCGTTACTTGTTGAAAAATAGGGTGCGATAAACCTGTAGTGCAGGCGAGCTATAAAAACAAAATGGAGTGAACAAAGTTAGGGCAGTAAATAGGGTTCCGTATATTTGTTGGTAAATTAAATAAATATTAGATAACATCACATACTATAGATTTATTGCTCAGACACAAAATTAAGTAGTTAAATCATTTGTCAAATCAAATCTGAAATCAAATCTGAAACAAAGAAAGTGATACCTAGACACAAGAGTTGTAAATTTTCTATAATGATAAAATCCATTTTATATATTGACCCAACCGGGAACTCGATGTCAGTGATGGCGATGCCTTGAAGATGGCGTACGTGTCACTCATTTACGGCTGAAGATTCATGGCATATACTGAAGCCACTCACCTTTGTCAGATAGGAAGTATCTTGAATAATATCGTTTAGTGTTATACATATATGCAGTTACAACTTTGAATTATTGTTTAATCACGCAACATATATATAAGTGACTCCAAATTACGTGTAATATTGAAATACATAAGAGTAATATTAAATTTATTGTAAATAATTGTCTGATTATATTTCGTCCTGTCTATGACTTTTTATGATATGTGTTTTTATGATTTTAAAATAACTACTGTTGTGTCTGACTAATTTTATCTTCATGGAAATAAACTAAAAAGTTTTCTAATTTAAAATGGAATGACACTCGGAGACAGTTTCTAATCCGCTGAGAAAGTTTCAATTAGCATTTTTTTCCTATACGTTCTTAGATTTTCTATAAATGAAATCATAAAAAATAAGATTATGAATAGACTATAAAATCTTCTCTATATATCGCGGAGCCCTAAAAATACTGGCAAGTGATACCGGTGACAAAAACCGTATAAATTGAGTTCCGGTATTACGCACGTGACGGATGTCTATGGTACAGTGCAAATAAATTTATTGTTGTGTGGGAAATATAAAATAAAGGTACATTTTTGGCGATCCGTTAAACTCATTTTAATAGGACCAATAAAATAAAACGAATGAAAATTATTTTTATTCAATTCACACAAAGGATTTATTGAACGATGCTTCAGTCTTTAATAATCCCTCTTTGTTAACGATTTTACTATTATTATTACTTAATAACAATGACATTTTCTTTTGATGTTCCAAAATGTAGGAAAGCAATATAATTGCTTTCCTCAACTGGTATGTCTCCTTGGGTAGATTGAATCCTATTAACTGCAATTTTATTCATTATTAGTAAAATTGTGTATTGTTGCGAAAGGTCATAAACCCTATTATTGATTTAAGAAGTAACTAACGTTCCTTTTTTTTGTTTTAGTTGTTAAGCACGCTGTTAGTTGCAACAGCCTTAGCCCAACAGCAACAATGGAGCCCTTTCTTACCCCAATACCAAAGTCAAGACCTCTTAGCGGCACAGTCACAGGATCACCAGGTATTTATCCAAAATTAAATTTGTAATCGAATATTTTAGTTTTAATTAACATATTGTCGAATTATTAATATATATTAATAGTAGTTGTATAAATAGGTAGTTGTATACGCTTTCCGGTCGCAACTTCGCACGTGGATTTAAAACTCGACATGATTTTAAGTTCAAATTTCACCCCTTCAGGAGTTGAATGGTTCGCAATCCTTTCTTAGCGAACCTCTGCGTCATAATTTCTGTCAGTGAACCAAATGTGAGCTCAATCTATTAATTTGATTTGTGCATTGATAGATGATATTGATAGACAGTTTTTTGCCTTCACACCTTTACACATACCTAGATTAGAGCAAATAAGAAACGTTATTTTCAAGTTTTGAACTAATTCAAATTATGCGTCTATACTCAACTTCGCCCCCGTAAATTATAGCCTATGACACCCGCGTATGATAAAGCTTTCCGAAGGAGAAATAATTTATAAAATCGGTCCAATAACTTCTGAATTTATTCAAAAACCTCTCTTGAGCCTATTCAAAACATTCCCCGTTGTAGTATTAGTATAGATATATGTAGATATGCAATACTAAAACGCATATAATGTAATGAAACTAGAAAAGATTTAGCGCTTATAATATTACACAGTTCCAGCCACTCGGAAATAGCACCACCTGTGACCGAAAATTGCATTATTTTCCCCGCGAAAATGTAAGTTTCCCACGAAACAAGAGCAGGTCCGGAGCAACCTGGATTCACTCAGAGGGTTAATACAAAAAATGTGGCCGCTTCACATCGTAACCTGCGTTTACGAGTTTTTATGTTTTCGTTTTAGACAAAACATATTGCCTTTTGGTGCTCTGGGTTGCGTGGTAAGGCCTCGGGTTATTTTCCAGCGAATGCCCTTTTTAACCTTTGACTGTAAAACGAACTTTTCGGCAATTTTATTTTTTGTGGTCAGTTTTAGTTTTAACGTTCTTTATTTAACTTAGCGTTGTCGATGTTGTTTTTGTCGCGGTATCTATACATGTAATATATATATATGTATATATAATAGGAAACCTGACTGACTTATATATCAATTTACGGCCGAAACTACTACGACTTTGAAACTTGAAATTTGGTACAGGTGTTCCTTTCATGACGTAAAAAATATTTTTTAGAAATTGTGCCCCTAAGGTGGTAAAATAGGAGGGTGAAGATAATATGGAATTTCCTCATTTCTGGACTTAGAAGTATGAAAATAGGTATATAAATGGGACCCATAAAACATTTTTATTTCATTTCATTTTCTTAATACAACATATGAATAATGTTCTGTAAACAACTAGCGTTGTGTGTGAAGAATAAGTACCTAAAGTAGAAAGCTGTAATTACATTGATACCTATTCTTTCGTATAGAAATTGATACGACATTTAAAAAAAAAACAACTAAAATTATGTTGTTCCAAATAACATGTTTAAATTCTAAGCTACGACTTGACTACGAATGCGTATTAATAACTTAATTAGATTAATTATTTAACTTAGATTCCGTAGGGGTTAAATAATTACTTTGTTCGAATACAAGATTTAATACTTTTGTAATATGAAAAATGTCGCATTTTTCTTTGCTGGCTATTCAACTGAAGAATTTCCTGTCCGCTCGTAGATTCACCGATCGTTCGGGAGATCTAATTATTGAATTCTGTCATTTCTCTCGTAAACGTTGTAGGAATAAACGTAGAAGGCAAATTTTCCAAATCATTCGTTCCTTTATGGCGCCCTTTAAATTGGCTACGCTTTGTTTAAAAAAAAAAATAACAATTTAAACGTGAATCCAGATGGGAGCATCTGGATTCACGTTTAAATTGTTATTTTTTTTTTCATATTCATAGATGTGAGTTATTGTAATTTTTTTTTTTAATATACATATATAATGAATATATTTTTGTTGACATAAAATCTTCTTTGTGGTTATGATAACTTTAAAAAAATGTGACTTTAAACTATTGATATTGTTGTGTAAGTATAAATAATAAATCAATGTTGTAAGCATACAATTTATACTTTTTTTAGTTTTTATTTAAAAATATATAAATAGCTAAAAACTTTTTGTTTCGATAATATTAGAAGATATCCTAATTATATTCCATTAGTCTTTTTAGCATATTAATTGTTTAATTACGAACTCCTTAACAGACGAGTTTTGAATCAGCGAGAGTGTCTCATAATATTAATGCTGTCTCAATGAAGTTTGAGTGAAGCGGATGCGTCAACTTTGTTGAGTTGATACTTCTTTGAGTTTTGGGTGAAACAAATTTCCATAGAGTTTACAATCTCTTTGATGAAAATTCATCGAATATTGGTTTACGATAATATACTTCCGTTTAAGCAAGTGTTTATAATTGTTAAAATGAATTATTAAAACGAGTAAGACGAGACAGAGATATTTATTTGCACTTTTATTGCATGTAATAGTGCGTCTGTTTGTTCTTTTATGACGTTGAAAAAGCATACATAGTTGTAGTTTTCTAAATATTACATTAATCTTAATAGGCTATAATTATTAAAAAGTTAGAAAAAAGAACAACTTACGTCAGTTTCACTACCGGTGGTAAAAAAAGTATCTAAATATCGCATTGTCGAAAGAGAAGTGCATAAGTAGGACCTTATTATTTCAATAGCAGCGTATTTGTTATGTCAAAGAACAAAAACTTATTTTATTTAATATATTCCAGTGACATCTAGTAAACCGAACCTCTTCGATATTACCAAACTTATTGAATAACATCAAAACGGAACGTATCAAAACAACAAAGAAAGTTAAAAAAAAAGAGTTAATAACAAATAAACAACAAAATAAGCTCGACGACGCGATTGCCTAGGTAGATGGTTCTTTTTTACTTTTTTCTCGCTTCGTTTTACCGTTATTAAATTGGCGCGAACGGTGCCTTTTGTAAAACAAAATAGACGAGTAATTTTATTTCGGTATCGAAATGTCATTTGGCACTTTGTTTTAACTATAAAAGACTGTAAAATCCTAATTAACGCTAGAGAATAAATTTCATGCGAGTAATTAAAAAGAGGGAGATATTTAATTATGTATGTAAATTGCCTCCCACCCAAATAGGTTATTGCTACATAATTTGTTGTAATTTCGTTTTTCATTAACCATATTGATATTTAAATGTAAACTGAAACAAACAATAATAATTTTTTAGGGAAAAGTGTATTTAGATTTGCAAAACATAATTCTAAACCCAATCTATTAAGAATATTGCATACATTTTATCTATAAAAAAAGTTAAATACAATTTGAATTAGAATTTATGATTTTTATTGTAAAGTGGTTGCTCTTGTAAAGTTAGTTTTATTATGCACAAATTTATTTATCAATGTCAGATTAATAAAAAGATTAGAACTGTGATATTTTAAGTTAGCACCAAAGAGTGCCGAAAGACAATAAATACTTAGAGATGCAATTGCAATGGACCTAGCGGGATTATAAAAGAACAAAGAGGTATCACATTTTGAATATGTCGTAGAAGTCATATAATATAAAATTATAGTTTCTAATATTTATCTTATTATTACAAAACTTAAATAACCATTAATAATAGTTTTACAATGTAAGAACTGATATAATTGGTAATGTTTTACTTATTTTTAAATATTTTCTTTCACAGTTTCAACTTAGTGATTATTCAAGCAGCTACGGCGGTTCCGAAGGAGGGCACGATTTTGGCTCTCATGGCCTAGACAGTCACGGCTTAGAAGGCCATGGATTCGGAGGTCACGAATTCAAAGCCCACTCGTACCCAGTCCACCAACACATTGAGGAAGAGAACCCAGAACCCATAAAACATTACAAAGAGATCGTCGTCCCAGTACCCAAGAATGTAGAGTTCAAAATCAATCAACCCATATTAATTCCCGTTCCCCACCCTGTACCAATCCAGGTGCCTGTCCCCAAAGCCGTGGTTATCCCTATCATCAAAGAGGTTTCCATCCCCGTTGAAAAATCTGTACCCTACCCGGTTGAAAAACAAGTACATGTACCGAAAATCAAGGAAGTGCCTTTTGAAGTCATCAAACATATAATTGTACCAGTAGAAAAACCTGTGCCTTTCAAAGTACCAGTATACGAAACCATCATTCATACAAAGAAAGGATCGCATAAGATCTAAATTTGTAGAATAGAAGAGGTCAATAACATAGACGAACACGTGTTGTTACTATCTTAGTATAGTTCGATTGTGCAATTCTAAAATTAAGTTTAGACAAGAAATAAATTTTACAGGCGTGCTTATTTGCCTGTATTGCACCTAGTAGGGGATTAAGATCTTTTTTAACATTACCTTACTAGGTTTTGAAATTGGATTATCGTTCTTTGGCAGGAATTATAGAATAAAAATAAACACATTGTACCTTTTAAAATAAGAATAACAGCCGTGTCGTCATTTTGTTGTCGTGGAAAATGCTTTATTGTTGTGTTTCTGTTGTTGTTGTTGTTGTTGTTGTTATTAATTGTTGCGACTGTTGTTTCGTTTCTAATTGAATGTTTGGTTGTGTGTGCGTTTGTATATATGTGGACGAGTATGTTTCAGTTATTAATATTATTTGTTATTTTTAAGTGTTACAAATAAATGAATTGTTTTAAATTTCTTTCCTATTATTTTCGTTCCACAAATTTCACATAGATGCCCCAGACCCCAAGTAAAGGATGATATATAGCCATTGATGAAATTTTTTTAAAAATCGTTCGAATAGTTTCAGAACTTATTCAATGCAAAAATCTTCTAACACAATGTTACGCAATCGCAGACAACGCTAGAATTCGTGATATTTCTTTGCCCGGCTATAAGAATAATAGATTTTAAGCAGAAAATTTGAAATAATGCCATCTGTTGCCAGTGTTTCAAACTATGTAAAAAGATATATATATATATATATATACGAGTACATACATGCTAATATTGAAGTACACACAGCACGCACAAATTTTCGAAATCGGTTTTACCTCTTCTAACGATATGTTACGGTTTAAAATTGATTGGCAACTGTATATAGCAAGTAGATTTAAAAACTTTGATTTTAGCGCTATATAATAAAATGCTATTAACAACACAGTCTGGCCTCAGTCAAATCTTTTTCGTCAGTTGTTCTGAACTTAAAACTTTTAACATCAAACAGTTAAAGTTGAATAGTAGTTGGAGCGAATATCAAAGCAGAAATATTGATATAAAACTTTTTGTTTTTATATAAGTGACTTAAGGATTGCAAATGACTAATACTCTAAGTATTATAATACTCAGTGATATTAATAAGCAAGTTTTAGAGTCAGAATAAATTTACACTAAAATTCCAATTTTAATATTAATTCGAATTCATATTATACAGATAATAACCAAACCTTCTACACCTTAAGACTTTACCTTATTCTACATTCTAGGAGTAGTCTCTGTTTTATAATATGAATTCTGATTAATAGTAAGTACAGTCTCAGCATAAATTTACTACAACGCTAAATCTTGTTTATTAATAACACTGTAAAAGATCACGTGTATATTTATTATTGTTAAATTAAACTCGTTGGTTTTTATTGAAAAATGCTTAAAAAGTCCCCTTGTAGTCTGAGATGGCGTGCTGATTAACTATTGCGATCAATTCAGAAATATCTACTGCTAGGTATACTGTGTACAGCTATGTGTGTGAAAAACTGTTACAGATACTTTACGTTTTACGTAACGATGAACAACAATAAAAATTAGACTGCCACTCACTGTAGACAGGTAGTGAAAGTGAGTCTGACATCTTATAACAATCAAATTTCAATTTCAAGCTTGGTTTTTGTTTTGTATCTAATTCCTGTCATCATACAATGGTAAAGTAGCCTGCATGAGAATCAATTAGATTTGACGTAGTTTTTTGTTTTTTAGAAGATTTTTGAATATAATTTAACTTTTTTGTGCGTTACCTCTAACTAGCATTCTGCTAGCGGCTTCGCCCGCGGGGCCCTGTGTTATACATATAAAACTTCTTGAATAATTCTGTATATCGAGGTCGTGTAATCATTATCATCAGCCAATTAATATCTGCTGGGGCAAAGGTCTTTACTATGGATGGAATTAAATATGCATAAAGAGCCGGGGCCAACAATTACCATTCTACCAAAGTTTGGAAGGAACTTGAGATAGTAAAAATACAATCTGAAGTGCGTTTAGCGACCACCTGGTTAATATATAATTTAACTTACCTTGTAAATAGAATTTAAAACCATCAGTACGCGATAATGTAATGTCCTCCTGAAATATAATGTCACCTTGTCTAGGATAAGCGAGACAAAAGAGGTGACCGTATGTAAATTTCTAATTTTATTAAGTGAGAATGAAACATTAGTAATATTTTATACAGTCTTATTTTATCCCTAGCATATTATAAATATGGAACAAGGACGCGTATTTGGTTTTTCAAAACCAAGGTTAAGCCATTACGCCGAATGACAAAACGTTTCTGTCAAGGTTTTAAGGCTTTCGGTTAAGAAGCGTCATGTTTCTTTGTCAAATTATCCGCGTGGGGAGTTGTTAAATAAATGAAATCATTAAGGGGCAATGTTTAATAAGGATTTCGTCCCAATTTATAATTAATGTGGTCAAAGTTATAAGTAGCTCGGTACCGACGTGGATAAGCGCCGCGAGATGTGATCGTTGTTGTTAAGCAACTTTCGTAATGGTCGGTCACGGGATGGGTGACCAAAAAATAATTATCTCGAGTTACTTCCTCATTCGGAAGGTACGTAAACCTAGCTGCATTTGCAGTCGGTAGTACCTTCAAATCCGTATTGGGCCAGCATGGAGGGCCTATCCATGGCATGTCCCCATTAAACATCCATAATGAAGGACTGAGCCTGATGATAATGATCTATGTAGGTGAAGTGGTAAAAGGTTCCGTCTGACACAGAATCGTCTCATATCTGTTTTGTTTCTTTTACTACTTATAATATATCTAATCAATTTCCCAGAGGCTTGACCAGAAATTGCGCATTCTTGCCGCACATCACTTTTGGTGGTACGTTGCGTTTTTCAATAGTTTAATGGGAGTGCAAACGTAACTTATACAAAATATATTCGCAAAGATCTCAAAATAATGTGTCGAAAGAACAGTCAAGAGAGAGACCAATATAGAAGAGTGTATTTTTCTAAAATTGACTCGAACGGCAATCGAACAGATGGCGATACTATAGTACCACTGAGAACATCTAGATTACAGAATAATAAGAAATACTTTTTTGTTAATATATTACTTGTCACACAATATTAACACGAACTCTTCGATTAATTCGAACAAAAAGTACATTAGGACGAGCTCAGCAAAACAATAACACAATTATAACCGTCCCATACTCTTCCTAGACATATGATCCATTGTCTAACCAATACTACCCAAATATGGATACAATAATGTTCTTAAGAAATCCCTGGACGATTTAACACTGAGTGATCATCATCAGTGTCGAAACAAACCTCAGAATTGATACAACGACGTCTTTTGTCAGAAATAATGAAACCGAACTTAGTTTTGATCAAACTGATAATGCGTTTGTCAATTCTCATGTTATTATTCGTGATGTTATTTATAATATCAACTTTTTTGTACAGTATTAGGTATTGGCCAGATGTTTATAACTATGTGAATGCAAATATTACAATAACAAGGATACCAACTATATCGGAACTCAATTTGACCGTCTTCGAGGTGATTGAGTATAACACTGAGATGTATTCTACAACGGATGCAGATTATTATACGAACGGATACGATACCAATACCGTAGAATATACATTTGGTTTTGAAGATATAGAATATCGAAATTCGAAAGTTAGAAGAAGCGCTGAATTAGAAGATATGGGTAGTGATTACAAAGATGTGCCAAAGAAGAGTGTTGTGGTTGATTATTTTTTTGACGATGAAGATGAAACGAGTACTAAATTAATTAAAGATTTAGTCGATGAAAGAAAATTGACTACGAGAGACTTGAAAGACGTAGAAGTCATGCCTGAGACGCAATTTTTTTATGGTTATCCAAAAATGGTAAGTGTTGTGTCAGTTTTATTTGCATTTCAAAACTATTAAATATGACTCTTTGAATTTTGATTATCTATATTATTGGAACTTAACAACTGAAATGATTTTAAAAATATGAACTTTCAAATTTTAGCGTTGCATTATATTAGATTGTATTAAACGGGTATTAACGGGTATGAACTTTGGGAAATCTAGGTAGGTGAAAACCTAACTATCAATCACTAGTGATTTTATTCAATTCTTTGATTCACAGAAAGATAAATCATACGCAGGTGATATAGGTAACTTACGCGGTCACAATCTCTAATATTACATGATCAAATATGATTAATGAGACTTATTTGTTTATAACTTGCATTGTAAACGAAAAAAAAATACGGTTGCATTTATAATCAAATGTTATGTTATTTAACTGTAACTATTTGGTTACATAATAGGTAATTCAAAATTAATGTTCACAATAATAAACAGGATAGTACTTTTTCTCCCTTAATAAATTGTTTTGGACCATGAAAATGAGTGAATAAAATAAAACACGCAATAGCAAATAATTTTATAATTAAGATGTTGATAATAAAAAGCGCATATTACGTAAATAGTAATTCATCCGCTTTATTTGATCGTTAAATTTTGAGTATAAATATAGCAATTAAAGTATTTCTAATAATAAAGTTACTTCTGTTGCAAAGAGGCATGTAGTCTCGGCAAATGTGTAGTAAAAATATTTAACTAGTGTCTTCAAGAAGGCTTTATTCTCGAGGAAACTATTTTTAAAATCAAGCATAATATTTATATAGGCGATATATCAATAATGGAGGAGAGTAGGTTAATGTGGATTTAATCGTCTATCGATTGTTAGTATTTGTGTAAAGATTCTAAATTTCTAACCAATTGTTCTCTCAGTTGACGTTTAGTTATGCATCACTCAGCGAGAATTAACTTGAATTTGAATATTTAATTGTAGCAAAACTATGAGTAATATCGTTGACAGTTGTGATGTGTCAAAGTTCACTTCATCGTAACTCTTAGAATGGCCAAAACCGGGTCATTTGCGGTAATACGACTTCGCCAGATCACTTCCGACCAATCTAAATCATCATTATTATCCACGTTACGTGGATAAGTCGTGTCACATTGCTATTTCTTAGTTATTATTTATTTCTTTGTCTTAGTTGCTTAAACCAATTACTTATAACAAGATTCAATACTATTTGTTCAATGACTTGCATTACTCTATTTGGACAAATGTGGTCTGTACTATCCAAATGAATATCTTCGCCTAAATTTCCGTTTTCAATTTGTATATAATTATCATCATCATCATCAGCCTGTTAACTGCTGGAGTCCGTCCCTTTGGATGGAATTAAATACGACTAAAATGCTAATGGTTTCAAGAAACGATTTTTTTGCCAATTAATGTTGCCACGGAGGTAGGATCTGATAGTTCTTATAATTCACAGATATCTTTACGGATATGATTTTAACGAAATTATAAGAACGATTCCAAATTCGAAATTCGTTCGAAAGCAAACAGAATAGGTCTATAGGTGTCATGTAAATTGTATATCGAGTTATGTAATTACGAAAAAACGTTAATACAAACTCTATTTTTTTATTTTAGAAAGTTGTGCAATAAAAATGGCACAATAAAAATTAGCATGTACTCAACAATTTATTGAAAAAGGTTGTGATTATGTTTGTTAATTTTGATGAAATTTGATATCGGATATAGTCTGAATTAACATATAGCCTACTTTTTATTCCATTAAACTTAATTTTAAATGATTAAGTAGATACTTGCAATCATACAAATAAGTAACGAGTTGTAATTTAACCCTAATTAAGCTCATAAGCAGTTAATTAAATTTTAACATATTACTTATTTGTGTGTTTACAAGTACTTAATCGCTTAAAATTAAGTTAAAAAACTACCTAATCACGTGCTAACCATCAATTACTTTAAGTCAGCAATTTTTGATAAATTGATTATAAATTATCAGGTAAACATTACAATGTAGTATGATGTAACGTCCATCCATACAAACTACGTTTGATAAAATCACTATGCGAAATCAACCTTCTTAATTGTTTATTGTTACTGTAATAAATTACCCAACGTTGAAGATGTTATGTATTCCTTTTATTGCAATGATGTGCATAATCAGTTTATCTTAGATACAATGGAGATAAAACTTGGAATGGTTTAAATGTGAACTTATTTATTTAGCACATCAAGTTACAAGAAAAGGAAGGTCTTCATTTTCAACTCAATAACTATAAAAAGATTAAGGTTCAGAACTGGTTTTTTACCCGACTGCGCAACGTAACAAAGTCTTATGGGTTTTGGTATTGTCGATTTTATATGTCGTGAATTGGTAGAATATAATCCACAGGGTAAACCTAGGAAAAATAAAAACTTTCGTGTACATAATATTTTACAACAAAAGTGTAATATGAAAATCCGAATGGAAGCATAGATCTTAGAGAGAATGACTTTTAAACCTGATCTACACTTGAACCACCATATCATGGAGGTCGTAAATACAACTCTTTTTCTCATTAGAACAAAATGCTGCATGTCAAATATCTCCACTTGATTCTCAACCTTAAAGGTCGTAACAGACGGTTAAGATGCTATATTATGATACCTTAAGATAAAATATCGCTCGCCATACATTTCGATGGCCCAACACACACGACTAAGATAATAAAATATCTTCATATTAAGCATCTTAAGATATCAAGTGATACTGAAATATATATTTCGTAGGATAAGATGGTGTCTTATGATACAAAATAGCTTTTATATTATCGTAATGGTGACCGTTTGTGATAGCTTAAGATGTTAAAATATGTTTTTTGACATATCTTAAGATGAAATCTTATTGCATCTTAATCGTCTGTTATGAGCTTTACGCATTAATTGGGGATACATTGTAGTGACCTGAGGTGGTCTTGTGTGTACTTTAATGGTTATTTATTGTTTAATATAATCGAGGTCACACCATGATAGATAGAGTCGTGATAAAGCAATTATCGTTTTGTATTTTAAAAATTATTTTTTATTATGTTCATCGTGTTTGATTTCTTTCGACATGCAGTTGTTAACTACAAAATTCAACAAAAAGTCATTTCTAATCTTTAACAATATTATTTGTTGCTTCTTTTACAAACAGATCTGGAAATTTTACAACAGAGGCAACTGACTAACGTAACCAGTAGGATAATTCTGTTAATGTTAGCGTAATTATGGAAAGTCAATAGCGGTTCATGTCACAGTTCTTGTTATTAGATTACAAAATAATATATACATTTGTTACTATTGATTTGTGAGGAAGACATTGTATTAATAATATTGGACGTCAGGTACTAACTAATACAATCGCAAAAGGAAAGTAGTTGAAACTATTGAAATGCGATTTTTACACAGAAATATTTTTATATGTATATGTTATTATGTGAAAATTAGCAAAATTGTAGTCCTTATTTCTGATACACCATTGTTTAAAACAAATCGTGTTTAACAGTTTTTAGGTTGGCTAAAATTTATTTAAAATCGATAAATTTTTAAAATTCTGCATATCCTACGTTCATTCGGGATAATGTACATACAGTTTAAAATGGTAAAATAATTTTCAAATAGATACTTCTGGATTGATAACTGTTCCGAAGATAACTTTCGCTTAGATGTAAATAAAATTTGCTCTCTTTTTATATAGATACTTCTATCAAGTATAAATATAAAAACGTCTTCAAGAGAATTTAATAGGTAAATTAAAATTTTGAAACTCAGAAATCATAGTCGGTAGAATATAGTTTATTCGAACATAAAATATTATGATTACCCCAATAGTATATTGCGAAAGCTTCTATCCAAAGCTTGTCTGCAATAGAGTAACCATTTAATTGTCTTCCTTCATCCATCAAAGTCACACAGTTTCAAGGTGACTTACATAATAACTAACGACCATCTTCCACATTATACTCTAAAACCATAATTATAGAACTTAATTTCGATTGCACACATCGACGAAAATATTATATAGCGGGGAATCATCTCTCGCGCATTTGTTTATGAACTTACATCGAGTATTGACGTTGATATTAGTAAACTTTATTTAAAAATGAATGTGCCTTATTTGTATATTGTATTCGCATTGTTAGTTGGTGATGTGACAAGTGAATGTGATCATTATATAGATTGTTTCACAGAGTTCTTAAGCGACCTTCTTGGTAACAGTGGCGATGTGAAAGAAGTTAGCGTTGGGAATTTTAGTCGAAGACAATTTGATTTAGATGAGAAAAAGAAAACTTTCGATGAGATATTCGAAGACTTATCGGTACTAATAAAACAAATAGGTGTTGGTGTAAGAGAATCGATAACTAAGAAAGAAGAAAACAATAACACAAAGATATACGTGAAGACGTTTGAATTTGACAATCAATCAGATATCACAGAAGAGGTTACTGAAACAACTATTGCTACAACAGCAGACGAGTCTAATGAAAGCACAACTGATACAATAAGTTTTCCTGAAATACTGTTAGATAATGCAAACATGTTGCCTTTTGAAACAACGTCTCAGAATATTAACGTTATACCACTACAAAACGATAAAGAAAATGAAATTACCAATAAAGACGACTTGTACGATATCTTTGACGATTTGGACGACAACAGCACAGATTATCCGGGTATAGATTATATAGAATTATACAAAGATACCACTAATGAGTTTGTAGATTATGTGCCGACTGAACCATCGATTACATTACGAAAAGCTATGATGCTGAATGAGAAAGGCATAGATGAGTTAATAGAAGAGTCGCTGAATTTGATACAAGATGATGTGTTAATAAATCTTATCAAAAATATAACAAATGGCGCTAACAGAGTAAGTACCTTATAAATATAGTACAATTTATGAGATCATAGTACAAATTACAAGCCAACGCTCAATTCAGTCTGATAATGATGATAATAAAGAAAGTGTTTCAGTATATAC